TCCAAATTTGTTAAATTGTTGACTGGTCTCACTCCAAGATTATTAGAAAGAGAGAAGTGAATGTCTCCAAAGATATTCATATTTCTTCCGTTTTATATGTTCCTCGTCTGGATTTCAACTTACTTTTAATTAGTAAGCTTACACATGACTTGAATTGTGTTAATAAATTATGCTCGTAACTCTTGTAATTTTAGGTGGTAGATTTGGGAAATATGGTTGGCAATATTGAATTGCATAAAGGTCTATACTTGCTCAAAAGAGCTATTCTCTTAACACACAAATGTCTTCTCCGCCATCATATTCTCATGTTCCCGAGTTTATTGAGAGTCTAAGTTTTATTAGACTATTCTCATCTAGGTCATCCCAAGTTTCACTATGTTGCAAAGGTTTACCCCCAACTCTTTGTTAATAAAAAGTCAGAGTTCTATCAAGATCAAACCTGCCAATTCGATAAACATAATAGTCATGTATATCCCCTGTCTCAATATATTCATTCACATCTCTACAGTGAAAATTAGGACCATGAAAATTGAAAAGCATCAATGGAACCAAATGGTTTATCTCCTTCATTAATGATCACACTAGAATTAATTTGATATTTTTTAGGAAGGAGAAATCTAAAACTATACAAATATTTCAATCCTTCATGACATGATTTACCCTCGGTTCCAATGCAAAATTCAAATTCTCAAAATTAATAATGCAAAGGAAAACTTTAACTCGATCATTAGCCCTACCTTGCAAAGAATGGAATTATTCATATGAGTTCCTGTGATGAGACTCCATAATAAAATGGGATAGCTGAAAGAAAAATACATATGACCCTAAGTTATCAAGGTCTATAATGATCACTCACAATATCCCAAAAATTTCATGGGGAAATGCGGTGCTGACAACAACTTACACTATTAATAGAATGACAAGTAGGCGGTCCATAGATTTAAAGCTCATCTCTATATTAAGATAGAAATATACCCTCGTGTTAGAGCTTTCTCATCCAATCTTCCTCTAAAAATATTTGACTTTCTTTTGTTCACATTCAACAACCAAACCGCACTAATCTTGACCCAAAATCAATCAATCTTTATTGATTTTGGTTATATTTCTAACAAAAAGGGTTACAAGTGTTATTCTTCCATTACTATAAAAGACTATAATTTCATAGATATTAAATTCTTATAAAAACAATCATATTGCCCTAAATCAAAAATTCAGAGGGAGGTTTTGGGTGAATATCATATTTGGGACACTACATTGGATATTCATGGTGAACTAGAGTTGTCGCAACCTCTTCTACTTTCCTCTCACCATCATATCTACTGGGTTCCACCACTTGAGGATATCCAATCTGAGTTTGATAATAAGAAAATGCACAAAGAACTTTGTGTTTACACTAGGACAATAAAATCCAATGAACAAAAATAAAGACAATATATGAACAACAAGACCATTCAAAATCAAACCTGAATCCACACATCTCCAAAGTTCCAAAAGAGGTGAAATCTAATGGATAAGACAAAAAAAGTTACACAAATTTTCCTATCCAAGATGTTGCCTATGGGAAGTTATCATCACCTTATAAAAGTATTTGTATATAATCTTAATAGGGTGCAGACATCCAAGTATATCCATGAAGCACTTCAAAGTCAGAGTGGAAAGAGATAATTTTAGCCAAGCACTTGATCTAAATGACACGTGGACCTTTACAAATCTTCTTCCAAAAAAAATAAATGTTGGGTGCAAATGGGTGGTCAATATCAAGTACAAAATAGATGAAAGCATTGAGAGAATCAAGAATAGGTTGATGTTCAAAAATTTCACTCAGTCTTTTGGGATACAATCAAGAGACCTTTACACCAATGACCAAGTTAAACACAGTAAGAGTTATTCTTTCCTTAATAGTGAATCAATAGTGGGAACTGCACCAACTTAATATCAAAAATATTTTTTTTAATGGAGACCTTGAGGAAGAAGTGTATAGAGAGAGCCCACCAAGGCTGGAAATAAATCAAATAAATATATGGTTTGCAAACTAAGAAAGTCACTTGAAGATCCCAAACAATCTCTATGAGCTCGGTTTAATAATTTTTCCAAGACTATAAAATCAATGGGCACATCTAATGTCAAGCTAATCATATATTGTTCATAAAACATAAACAGGGAGGTAAGAAATCAGTATTTATTGTCGATATAGATGATATGATTATGACAAGTGATGACGAAAAAAAGATTGGCAAGACTACAAAGATTATTGCTACTAATTTTGACATCAAGTATCTAGGATATATGAGATATTTTCTAGGCATGGAAGTGTTCAAGTCTAATATGAGAATAGTGATATCCCAAGGAAAGTACATTCTAGACCTACTAAAAGAGATAGGAACGTTGGGGAGTGACTCTATGGATTTCAATAAAAGGTTGCACTGAGGAGAAGAAAGACAATAATGGGACAAGGTAGATACTAGAGATTGGTGGGAAGCTTATATACCTATCACACACTAGGCCTAATATCGATCAGCATCATGAGTCAACATATGAATAGTCCAAATGAAGAATATTTGAAGATGATTTATAAAATATTAAGATTTCTTAAGAAGGCCTATGACAAAGGGTTGTTGTTTAAGACATAAGACAACGGAGAGGTAGAAGTTTACATTGATGTTAGTTAGGTAGGAGAACTCACGGACAAAAGATCCAAATCTAGGTATTGTTCCATTGTATGGGGAAATAATGTCATATGGAGGAGCAAAAAACAAACAGTAATCTCTAGAAATAGTCCAAAATCGGAGTAAAGGGCATTTTGAGAATTTGCGAAGAAATATGAATCCAAAAGTTACTAAATGAGTTAAGAAGCTCCACAGTCAATCACATAAAAGATGATATGTGATAGCCAAGCCACTATTTCGTCCACATCAGGGAGGGTGATATCCTTTTCAACAAGAATTCTTGCAACCGAAGGCCTGGTTAGATTGAAGGTGGGTGTATCCAATTTCATAGGTCGCCCTAGCGCAACTCTAATAGAATAGAGGACTTGGTGATTGAAGTAGTGCAAATTTAGGCCAGGTAATTTAAACTAGATTGGAAATATAGATGGTTCTTGGCTAGGGTCAAATTCAGGAGACTACTTAAGCAGTTTCATATATTTTTATCTATTGCCATAAACTTTTTGGAAAATATTTTAGCATAATCTTCCACTTTAGATAATTGTATCATCACATGTCTCTCATCAAAAAGGTCAACCTTCCAAAGTCCCAATAATTTGAGATCTTCAATTTGAGATCTTCAAAAGCTGATTTCCATTTTGGGATGTCCCGATTGGAACTTCCCAATGAGGGTGAATTTGAACTTCTTAACCAAGATGGAAACTTCAACATCAGAGAAGAATAGAGCCAGTTTACCACTCTTTCTACCCGTCATCTTGATAAGGTTGCAGTCCTCCTGGCCTTCGAATGATTCATGGTAAACCTAAGGAAAAATCTGATCTGATCCCATACAATCAACCATATCAACATAAGAAGTCTTTCTAAGGTTTAAAACTGAAGTAATCAGTGGTTGAGGAGGAACAGAGCCATAGAGTTGAGAGTCGAACAGCGGATGAAGGATCGCGACTACGTAGCCAAAGTCCCGAAAAAACAAAAAGAGGAAGAAGTCGTTGTGCCTAATTTGTGAGGAAGAAACGGAACCTGCTAATTGGAAAGTTCCAATCGGGTACAGAACGACGAAACCTGTTACACCTCAAATCCTTTTTCGAGGATGAGGCGACAAAATATTCGACATGAAACCCCACCGTCCTTCTTCGAGCATGATGAACGACACGAGACGAAGCAGACGACGAAAGAGGAAATCGCTGCGACCAGACGAAATTGCTGCGACAAACAACGACACCGCTGCAACCAGACGAAGATGACGAAATAGCGTAGCAGACGCTAGGGTTCGTCATGAGGCGAAACTCTAGCAAAGCGGAAACAACGACCCATGCTACATATATTATATATATATATCTGTGTGTGTGTGTGTGTGTCAGTTTTATTATCAAAATTAGCCTTTTCTCAACCATATGGGATTGACATAAAAATACCACTTAAAGATCAAAAAATATTATTTAGATATATAATATGGCAACAAATCTAAATATGGTGCATGGATCAATGTAGACCAATAAAAAAGAAAACAAACAATCGAGGTCCTGTAAAATTAGGAAGGATGTATTGTAATAACTTATATTAGTGATAATGTGAAAGAATTACATATTTAAATAATGATGTAAAAAATAGACCGTGATGATTTATAGATATATAATGCAGAGCAAAGATGCCCTTATAAGACAACAAGATTGAATTAGATGTAGAAGGAACAGGGATAAAATTAAGTTAGCCAAGAGTGGTATTGCTAGAAGTGAAAATCAAAATAATTACGAGGTAATTTGTAATTCAAGTCACCCAAATAAGTGATTAAATTTTTCAAACATGTACCACAATTGGCAGCATTTTAGAGAGGGAATATGTGCTACAGCAATAAAGGACAACCATCCCTCTTCTCACACTTCCGTTACTCAGCTGGCCAAGAAGGGTCATATAATTATAAGTAGCAAAAATGTGAAAAGGCTGCATAGAAGCATATGAAAATTGTCTTACACTAAAATAAAGATTGGCAAAGCGAATAAGGAAAGTGGATCAAGTTTATTACAATCAGTCAAGGCAAGGTGGACAAGTGTCTTGTGCTAAAATTTTGGATTGGTATTCAAAACCACCAGTTTAACCGCTTTTCAGTTGTTTTGCCTAATCTGATCCATTTGGCGAAAATTACAGCAAAAACTTCACCTAAATACTAGCAAAAAAAAACAATAGAAGGCCACTTTATAAAGCACATCAACAGCAATCTAGACAACAGTATTTTATTATATGATTCATCTGTCGTTCAAACACAAAAACTGATATACCTTATTCATACAGCTTCAAAAAAAAAAAAAAAGTTAGACAAGAATCAGGCATTTACTTTACCTCTTCTTCTCCCCCTCTGTGGGAATATTTATAGTAAATTTACACAAAGATGCAAGAAAAGAGTTCAGTGGTTCGATTACATGTAGAACTCCACATGCCTGAAAAATAGAAAGGTGCTATTGATTACCATTCTGAGCCAAAAAAACAAAGCATTTCGTAAGAAATAAAATGCCCTGGTATGGGAAATGGGTTGAATGGGACTTTTATTACGTTTGGAATAGAGACCGCAAAACATTAACATTATTAACAAGTAAAAGATTAGCTCATTTATGTCCGCCATAAATAGTTAAGCTCATGTGATGTCAGCACAATGCTTTACTAAAGCTTTTCCAAATGAATAAGAACTGCTAAGCTAGAATAATAGGGAATCAACTCCACTAATACATTTAATTAGCATTTCATATTTAGATACCTGAGTGAATGCTTGATAACCTTTCAGTACTTCTATAATAACGGCTTCCCCTTGTGACCTATGAAGATAATGCAAGCTATTAAATTTTAGATATTATGACAAGAAATGAGATTCCCAGTAATATATTCGCACCAACCTTGTCAATATCAAAGATAAAGCATCCAGGATGGTCAACCATGTTGAATCAATCAAGGATAGGCATAGAACAACTGTTTCCCCAGTGAACTTTGAAGGCATGCCTATATTATTTTTAGGTGAATCTATCTGCAACAAAAAAAAAAAAAAAAAAAAAAAAAAAAAAGTTTAGCAAAATTTAGGGCATGCTTGGAATAATTATTGTTTTTGTTTTTTTTTTCTTTTGCCTTAAAAAACTTGCTTATTTAGTGTGTGTTTTATATTTTTTTTATTTTACGATAATTACACCCGAAACATTGTTATTTACAAAATCTAGCACCCATGTTATAATTTTGAACAACCAAACCAATGTATTTACATGTGTCACAATCACACCATTAAGAATTTGATAAAAATGAAATATATGGTTTGGGATTTATCATGAATATTGTTACTTGAGTGATAATTTGAAAAATAGATGAAAGAGGGTGCTAGGTTTGTAAATAGTAATGCTTTGGGTGCTATGTATGCAAATAGCCCTTTTATTATCAAATTATAAACAAAATAAAATAAAAATAAAACATAAAAAATAAAAAAAACAAGTAATCCCAAACTGCAAATACAACACATTGAACTACATCAGTTTAGGTTAGCCAACAAAACTACAAAAAAGAGGTGATTTTTACCTCACCAACATCAGCAGCTTCATCTGTCAAAGTAGCAACTGCAAATACAACACCTAAAAGTCCTTCAACTGCTAAAGTAATAGCATGGGCTTCGCTAGCAACGACAACAGCGGCATTAGATGCATCATTGTCCATGCTCCATTCAACTCCTAAAAATACATTTAATCAGTAGTGTACAAAACAAAGCAAAACCTTATAAATTACCCACATGAATCAAAAGGAGGATGACATGAAAGGAAGAAATTAAATGTGTCAATTTGAATTTGGCAGTTCGTCATCTTAACAACTATGATAATCAGTAGCCAATTTATATGAATTCGTCCAATCAAACATTTAAAATGGAAACCTGCACTTTTTTTTTAAATGTAGTCTATGAAATCGATATTTATGCTTAACACCAAAAAAATAAAATGTGATCCAATTATATCGAACAAGTGCACTATTTACCGTAAACTGGAGGACATGGGCAAGCAACCACGTACGAAAAATGCTTGTTTTTTTTCCAAGAGCATACTATTAAAAGTTTTCACCGGTTCCTAAATATCTCATTAAGTGATAAGCCTCTTCAATAAAACTTCAGAACCAGATATCAAACATGCATTAAGCTTTGAAAGTCATGGAACCCAACGACAAATAGCACAAAGATATCGTAAAATAAGTGGTTTATTGCACTTATAAGAAAACGGTATACTGATTAAAAATTTGTGGGCTATGAAAACTTGTCCCCAACTCTCCTGAGACTGTGGTTCTGTTTGTGGAGGAGGCAGGCTTGCGGCGCGGCGCGACACTGCTATTTTCGGGTGTTTCGGGCGGCGGTGCAGCTGCGTCGTGCTGTGATATTCCCCGAACGCGTAAAGCGCTCACGGACCCGCGTCCCAGCTTCGCGTTCCTGCTTTCTACCCCCGTGCCCTTTCTTCACATTACCACATCCGAAACAAATACGGCCTGGATTTTCGCCCTTGCAGGCGACAAACATCTCCCCTCTCCTCTTCTCCGAAGGTCGTCCTCCTCCTCTCACTCAGCCCGGATTCTCATCCTCGCAGCAGCGGTAAGAACATTTTATCTTATGGATGCTTTGGATCTGTTATGCCTCTTTTGCCCTAATGTTTCATCTTCTCAAAATTTTCTTTTTCCCTAATCTTCTCAAATTATTTTTTGTGGTTTATCTCATTTCTCTGTTCTTCAAGCACGCACCATCCCAAGCATTCTTGGATATGCATTTCACTGGTGTTTCATTCCAATTCCATTTCTCTCTACTGAAAACAAGCTTTTCTATTTGAGGTTGAATTCAACTTGTAGCCCTTATAATACGAATTGTACCAATTCCACTTCTCATGTGCATTAATGATTTCTTATCAGGTTTATCATACTTGACTTATGGAACATGAGTAAAATACTTGCAAACGTCGTTTAAGAAATTTTAGCAAAGGTTTATAGTTATGCCAAGCTACAAATGGAGTTGTGCCCTGCAATGCCATTGTCAGTAGTCTATTTTTTAAGTCCATTTTTCTTTGAGGTATAAGAAAATGGACTTGAGGCTTCAATTTTATAGATTAAAAGAAATAATTTTGCCTTCAATTTTAACATTGAGAATATTCTGACTTGAGGCTTCAAGCCTTTGACAGAACCTATTTTCAGATAGCATGTTGAAACATTTTTCAATGAATTATCCTACAGTAAAATGGATTTTGGTAGTTTCAGCTCCATAGAGAATATCCGTGATTTTCGTTATTCTTGTTGTGCTTGTTATGAAAATTTCAATTATGGCTTTCAAAATATTTTTTAGCCTCAAGTCAATTATGACTTACAAAATATCATAGTTCCTTGTTCACATGTTATATGTTTTGTATAGTCGCTATCTATCAACCAACTTTTAGATGGCCCACCTGTTTTTTAGGTGGAGGAACCGTGGACGAGCTCATCTGCTTTATCCTCTACCTTCTTTTTTTTTCATTATCTGTAAATTTCAGTTCAAGCTTGATATACATTTTTGGAGGCTTTGTAGTTTAGAAATTTGGTTCTCAGTTTAAGCTTGATAAGCATTCAATGAAAGGGATGCTCATGAGGCTAATAAAGGTTTCATCCTGTTGTTATACTGAAATGAATTGTTATATTGTCACTTTGTTTTTGAATGCTGTGATGTTTTTGAATCTTTGTTTGATATATAGGTTATGAACTAGTGTTGCTGATTCAAATCTGATCCCCATTTTAGCAGCTATAAAAGTGCAAAGTTAATTGTAATGATGAAAATGATATTGTTCATTGCTATGGTTATTTTATTTTATTGTAATTGAGTAAATATAAGAAGTAAATATAAGAAGAAGGAATATTCTTCATATTTGCCATTAAACTTTCACATGTTACTGACATTATTTGAGGTTTTTTATGCAGTTTAAATTGCAAGGATAGAGCAGTACTATTGAATGTAACTTGGGATTAAATGCCTTAGAACTAGGGAGCCTACAGCAGTTGACCTTTTCTTTTGGGAGCTACTATCCCAAGGAGTTGAGATTACAGGAAAACCAACCTAGGAAGAAACTATGCTAGGAGAAGCCACTTATCTAATGGCCATTTTGACAAGAAACTCACAATAAATAATTTTCTTTTGAGGAGTTTTTTCTTGCAAGAAAAATAGCGTCTTCACACCTCTCAGGAAACTAAACAAAGAGAAATCCAGTCTGAATATTTATTTTTATGTTGATTTCGTTGTTTAAACTGTTTTATCAAGTCTTTCATGTAATCCTTTGCTTTCTACTCTAATAACTACCTTTTTATTACAATTGTTCTATGTAAGGTTTAAATTATTGGTAGAATATTGCTCAACTTATTTCACTAGAAAATATGAAAGAAAGAAAGAAACTTTAAAATATATGATGCAGTATTCAGATATGCTACTTATGCCAAAATGTCGGACCAGATCCCAGTCAAAATGGATGAAATCACATTGAAGTACAAATCTTTAGACTTAAAATCCTATTCCATTTTGAGGTAAAAAAATTTGGGCATAATCGACGTGTTCGTCGGGTGAAAAGTTTATAAAAGTACAAAAGAAATAAAATATTTATCAATCGCTGGATTCAAATACTGAAGTTTTAATTTTTTTTGCTTTCAGGAAAGATGAGCTTCATAAATTCAGGGATGTCCTGAAGTTTGCTATGCTACTGCGGACTAGAGACTTTCTTTCTGAGGTCACGGAAGGCCCACAACTACGGTCGACACTTTTGCAAATGCCCCCGAAAACTTGCAGAACATTATGACTTCTTCCACTGGGCTGACGATCAGGTCGATTCCACAGCTGAAAGTGATCGCGAATTGATAAAATCATTGGAGGAAAGTTTAGGAGGAGACATTCATCGCCTTCACGTTAAAGACAATATCATTATTAGTTTACTTGTAATTTTATTAGTATTTTTTCTTTTTCTTAGCACTTTTAATACTCACTACTAAGTGAGTGGTGTATTTGTACTTCTGTTATGTTTTGAAACGAATTTCTACTTTTGAAATATCAAATATGTCCCTGTCATAGTTCTGTTTTAAACAACTTCACTAAACAGGGACAGAATGGTCATTTTCCAGAAACAGCTGCCCCACAGTTATTTTCACACAGCTGCAACAAACAGACAGCTAGCTTCCCCACAGCAGCTTCCCCACAGAAGTTTCCTGGGGCAACGCAGCTGCAGCTGAAAAACTGAGAAGCTGGAGTTGCGTCAAACAAAGTTTGTGTTAGATGTCAATTTTTTACAAGTCAAATTAGACTAAAGATTTTATGAATACTTTATGATCTGATTCTAGATTCCCAACAAATCCATGCATTAACTACAACATCTAGTGATTAGAGAAAACTTCCGATTAACATTAGACTTTAAACTATAAGTGCTTAAAGGCTCCATAATTCCCTCATCTAAAGCCTATAGTGGTCTTTATTCTACTTAGTAAGAGGAGATTGTCAAACCAATCTAACTGAAGGAACCTTATCAGTAACCATAGATTGAATCGTTTACTACAACTTGTATACCTAAAAGGAATATTTGTTTAAACAATTTGAGGTCAACCGTAACTAACAAATAACTTTGTACTTTACCAAGCAGACTCTATGGTTAACCACTCAGAATTTGAGCTATTAGAAAACATTCATGTTTTACAAGTGTCCATAATTTAACGGTCAAAAGGCCCCAATTATAACCAATTTTTTATTATGATGTCATTTGGTAGCAAAAATCACATAGTCAAATGCCACATCCTTATTGGTATAAGATCTTCGAGAGTAACATAGAAGTATACCAAATTAAAATAATTGTCTTTTATTACCTACAGTTAATCTTCAAAGCCATCCTTGGTGAATTGTTGAAGAGTATCAAATGAATGGTTGCTTCAAGTTTGAGGGCAAAAGATCTATATTGAAAAGAATTTAAATTTTATGATTTTCTTAAATTTTTTATACTTTATTCGGGTTTAATCTTGAAATTATTTCTTTTAAGAACCCCATCAATTGAAATTTTCTAACAGCACGACCATCATTGAGGTATTTTAATAATACATTCTTTTTAAGCTTGTCAAATCTACCTATGCCACGACCCAGCCCGAGAAGAATTAACTAAGGCAAGCACAGATAGTGGTGAAAGACATTTCTAAGCATTAACATCAATCCACATTAGTATTCATATAAAAAAGAGCTATTAAATCTTGTAAGCAACCCTCTAATAAAATACACAATATCATCCAGTAAACTACAGTAACACAAGTAAAAAATCACTACCTATAATCCACAATCTTTTTACTCCAATAATAAAACTCCCTCCTAACCAAACGTTTTCCTGAAAAAACATTTAAATAGCAAGTTAAGCAACTTTGTGGATAATTATTACTTTATTATTTATTAAATATAATGCAAATGTTTAAAATGATTTCTCAAATGAATATGATGATCAAACAATTAAATTTTATTTATAAAGTCTATATTTATCATTTATTACTTACTTTTTCTTTAAACTAACTAATAACCTTTTTTTCATTTCTTTATTTCTTTTAATATTAGAAGTCTATCTCAGGAGCACTATCAAAATCTTTATCATTTTGCACCAAAAATACAACCATTACCATTTTTATTCTACACTTTAATCATTTCTTTTACATTTAATATTCACGAGTACAATAACATCATCTACTAATACATAAGAGGGGACTCCTGATAGACTTAACATTCAAATTTTTATTTTCAATCATTTCATTCCTTTAAATCAGTTTTTAATTTATTTTCATTTGATGAAGAATAAAAAGTGAGAGAACTGAAATCATAAAATAATCATTACTTTTTCATTTAGTTTCTTTCATTTGTAAAGGTGATTTGACACGAACATCTCCCACTGTCGGACTCAACGCGGCTCCCGGGTAGCGCAAGGGGTGCAGAGCTAAATCACTCTTTCGATTTATTTTCATTTTTAGCAAGTTTCATCATTTCTTTTCCTTCCTTTATAGTCATTTCCTATATATGTATTAGATTAGGGATTAGATTTTAATTTTGCTAGTGTTTCTATGAAGACGGTCATCGTTGTCCCATGTTTTTTTTCTTCCAGAGTTGTAATCGAGGGCGAGTGATGCTCCGGTTGTATCTCATTCTGAGGTAGTGATTCTCCTCCAACGGTCAAGTGGTGTTTCAACTGTATCTCGCTCCCGAGTGGCAATTTATCCTCCCCAACTCCCATGCATACCTCCTGCGTCGCTGCCGCACCTTCCTCCATGCTGCAAGCTGCTCTGGTAGCAGCCCTTTTGTTGTTCTTTATGTTGTTCCTCACTGTCCCGCCATCCACTTCACTGATGCAGCTGTGCCTGTCCTCTCCCTTGCTGTTTCTGGCAGTCCACAGCTTTTCCAGCCGTTACTAACTGTTTCCACGCCTTCCTAGACTGTCGTTACCGGTTGCAGCCACTCAAAACAGTGCTTACTTTCTGTTCACCAACCGTTTCTGCCTTTTAATCACCCTTTTCCCTTGACCCCAGCCCTCTCAACTGCTCTTCCCACTCTCCTCTTGCTGGTATGTACCTATCCAACCTTCTCGTCACTTCCCTCACTCTATGTGGCTGACGCCCCGCTGTTCCAGCCTTCTTGTGTGGCTGCTGCTCCCGGAACCACCTCTATTCACTGTTTTACATGTTGTCCAGCCCCCGACCTGCTTACTGCCACTCAGGACAACAAGGAATTGATGTTCCATCACCACTTCTACACACTTGCACCATCTCCCTACCTTGCTGCCACCTTCCCTCACACCAAACAGCCACCACCACCACTTTCGATTCTCCCTAGTTCTGTGTTATGTGTCGTGCGTGTTGTTATTTCCTATTTCAACTATATGGTTGTAAATCCTTATTTAATTTGAGTAATAATATTTAATTTCCTTATTGTTATTTGGCTAAACTCCGGTAACATTTAATATCAGAGCAAGCCTAACTCTAGTCTTATCTTAGGGTTTCTAGCACCTACCAATATCCAATCCTATCTACGACCAAAATTTTCATTTCCCACCCTATATCACCCTACACACCTCATTCCACCTACCCATAACCAAACCCTAATCATGCCGCCGAGCAGGCAATTGCTTGAATCTGATCAAAAGTTCACCATGAAGGAGATGCAGCATGAATTCCACAGAGTGCTACGACAGCTCACCAAACTTTAGGAAAGGACCCAAAGGGAGGTCACCATCGAGCATGGTAGTGAGATCCAACGAGGAGAGAGAGAGTAACACATCAATCTCTTTCGTAGGGATGATTCCAACGAAAAAATAAGGAGGATCAACATATGATTTTTATTGATTTAAAAAAAGCTTATGATAAAATTCTACGTGAAGTCCTTTAGAGAATTCTAGATAAGAAAGGTGTTGATATGACTTATATTCAAGTCATTAAAGTTATGTACACTAGAGTTGTTACTTGAGTTCGAAGAGAAGGCGGATTGACCAAGTATTTTCCTATTTCAGTTGGATTATATAAGGGATTGTCTTTAAGCCCATACATTTTGCTTTAGTTGTGGAAGTCTTATTGGACATTTATTGGAGGATGTACCTTGGCATATGTTTTGCTAATGGTATCCTTCTTGTGGATAAAACTAGAGAAACAGTTCAGGAAAAACTTGAATTATGAAACTGAATAAAGGCTTTCATTTGGTTAGATCAAAAACTGAATAAATGGAACGTAATTTTAGCAGTAGCAGCACTAGTGGCAAAGTTGAACGATAGGTGATCAAATCTTTAAAAGGTGTGAGCATTTTAGATATCTCAGGTCTATTGTTCAATGTGATGGTGATATAGAGGGGGATGTTATTAGTAGAATTCAAGGTGGTTGGTTGAATTGGAGGAATGCATCGGGTCTATTGTGTGATAGAAAAGTACCGCCTAGACTATAAGGAAAATCTTACAAGATGGTGGTGAAACTTGCAATGCTTCATGGGCAGAACGTTGGCCTTTAAAAGAGAAGCATAAAACATTGGTGAGATGAGAATGCTTAGATGGATGAGTGGCTTCACACTTAGAGACAATGCGAAATGAATATATTCGTGATAGGGTTGGTGTAGCTCTAGTGTCGGACAAGATTAGAGAGAGTTATCTTAGATGGTTTGGTCATATTATACGTCGACCATCTAATGATCCTGTAGGAGAGTAGATGTTTTAGATTCAATTTTTCTTAAGAAAGACAGAGGTAGACCTAAAAACACTTGAGCATATTGTATAAAAAATGATCTTAATCTGTTAGAATTAAATGAAAATATGGCATTCAATAGGATGCAATGGAGAAAAAGGATTCATGTAGCAGCCCCACTTAGTGGGATAAAGGCTTGCCATTGTTGTTTTTGTTGATGTTGTTATTGTTGGTTTTGTTGTTGTTGTTGTTGTTGTTGTTGTTTGTTTCTTAAACCTGAAGAGGATGTCCATAGAAATCCCAAGACATCGGCATTAATATAGCACTCACATACAACAGCAGCATTCTAATTTCCAGAAATATACATTACAATGCCAAAATAACATCCCTAAAGCAAAAGACTTCTATGTGTGTGTTTGTGTGTGTGCTTGTGTGTGTGTGTGGGAAACTTAAGCATTGAATAGAAGTCTAAAGACGATAAGATTAAATATAAGAACATTTAATATTATTTTGGTGTGCTGAATTACCTGCTTTTCTCTTACAGAAAATATAGAAAATAACTCGGCATTCAACAAACATGCAACCTCATCAATTAAAATGAATCATTATGAGGTACAGCTATATTTTCATCTTGAATATATGCCCAAAAATTGCCAAGAGAAAGAAGTAAGCACTAACTGGCAAAGAAAATTTGAAGAAAGCTGTTATATTGTTGTCCTTGAACGCTTCTCTTACGTTATACTTGAACAAAAATTTATCAAAATACTTATGTGCAAACTTGTTAATAGATAAAGAATGCGTGGAGTTAAATTACATACCTTTAGCTTTGCTGTTAAACATCCCCGCAACAGCAGCAAGGCTCTCTTCACTTGATTCTGGAACCTAGAGAAAAAAGAAAATACATCACAAAAATACTTAATATTATGTTATTCACCCAACAAAACCTGACTTCAAGTAACTCCAGACTAGGATAAAAGGTCCTAGAAATTAACAGACATATAAGGACCTGGGACTATACGGGAAAGAGAAATATTTGCAAGCTAGGTGAAGTTCAACAATTAGAAGAAGATTACGTAGCCTAAGGTGAAAAGGTTCTTGGAATCAATCCAAAGAAGAAACAAACCTCACATTTTATTGAGTTTTCTCAATGAAAACTTTCAGCTGCAGAGCAACAAAGTGACCCGTTTAATCTTCAAGAAAGTAAATAATGAAAAGGGTATTATAGAACGTAAGTGAAGCAGGGCAACATAGTACAAGGAGATTTGATTTATGATGTGGGTAGGATTTCTAGAATCACAACAAGCACAAAAAAAATCAAATAACCACATAGCATTATAATTATTGGAAACATTCCAAGGAAGATGAAGGTCTTGTGCTTCCTTAAAAGTTTGCCTATAATTACAGCGTTTACACTCCATGGAAGATGAAGGCCTAATGTGAAAGGGTTCTTGGAATCAATCCAAAGAAGAAATTACCCTCACATTTTTTTTAGAGTTTTCTCAATGAGAACTTTCAGCTGCAAAGCAACTAAGTAATTCATTTACTCTTCAAGAATGTAAATAATGGTAAATAATGAAAAGGGTATTATAGAACGTAAGTGAAGCAGGGCAACATAGTACAAGGAAATTTGATTTATGATGTGGGTAGGATTTCTAGAGATTACAACAAGCACAAAAAAATCAAATAACCACATAGCATTATAATTATCCGAAACACACTAAGGAAGATGAAGGTCTCGTACTTCCTTGAAGTTTGCCTATAATTACAGCGTTTCTCATTTATTCATTAATATATCATGAAAATTAAATGATTGTAAGCTTTCTATAGAGCTTGAAAACTTAACTTGACAAATATAAATCAGATGTATAAATTAAACTTAATAATAGGAAGAAAAAGTTAAACGTAAAATAAAATTTGCCCAAATCTAAACCAAAGAAATTAAGAACATTATAGTAGCATAAGTATTGACCTACATAGGCATGTCACTAGATAAAACAAACAAGAATCTAAATGAAATAGACATTAATTGAGATTGTTAAGCACAACATCGAATAAAATTAAATAAACAGCTCAAAACCGCTAAAAGAGAGCTCATTTCAAGAAATAGACTCTACCAACATGTCTAAACCGTCAGTAATTACCAAGAAAAAACCCCATATGTAAATTAAACAAACATGCAAAATTAGCAAATATCAGGCATGATATCTCACAAAATTGTTTTCAAATGTCGCTACAACAATCAAAATTACTCAACTCTTACATTGTCCAGAGCACCAAAAATACCAAGAAAAGATCTCTTGCATCAACAAATGACTAGAAGTACATCGCTCAAAAACATGGAACCATGGCCACTAAGCCATAGCGCCCAAAACATTAAAATTACCCACAAAGGAGACACATTAACTCATCCAATTTGAGAAAGCAAAAAAAAATATAGGCTTGAATTCAAGGCAATGGTATGAAATTCGAGACATGCGAATAAAGAATTTTGTGAGGAGAAATGATATATGTAACATAAAAACAAATAATTATTTTTATTGAATTAAATCAAATTAAAATTAAGTAAAATTAAATTAATGTTTTATAATTTTATATACATATACATATATATATATATATATATGTACATATACATATATATATACATATACATATACATATACATCTATATGTACATCTAGATCTATGTACATGTACATATATATATCTATACATATAGATATATATATAGTACATGTACATATGTACATGTACATGTACATATATATATCTATACATATAGATATACATATATATACATATGTACATATAGATATACATATATATACATATGTACATATATATACATATGTACATATAGATATATATATATGTACATATGTACATATATATCTATCTATATAGATATATATATATGTACATATAGATATATATATATGTACATATGTACATATATATCTATCTATATATATATATGTACATATGTACATATATACATATATATATACATATATATATATAGATATGTACATATGTACATATATATATATAGATATATATCTACATATATATAGATATATATATATATATATGTATATGTATATATATATATATATATATATAGACAAATATAGCTTGTCTATTAGAAATATAAATATTAGTTATCTAATTAGATGAAATCTAATCACATGATCCTTTCTATATTAAAAATATTCCTAATTTATAGAGATGGGGGTGTGTATAAATATGTAACATGTGTTCAATTATGAATAAAAATATTTACTTCTCTTTATATGGTATGAGAGTCTTCGTCTGCTTCCCCTTCTCTTAGGAGGCGTGTAGCTTGTCTTCATTAGCTTCATCTGTGTAGGTTGTCTTCATCGATGGTGTTGCTTTGTTAAATGGCGTTGTCTCTTTCATCACTCAACTTTGTCTACTGAGTCTACACAGTCTATTTCGTCGATCAATCTGAACTGTTCTAGTTCATCTGAATTGCCCGCCTTAGTTGCACCTACACAAAGAGGAACATTCGCTTCGTTTGGAAAAGACAAACCAAAGGAGTCATGATTTCAAGCTACATTTAGTGAGTTTTTTTTTTCGTCGATGGCCTTCATCGTCTTTTCGAACGGTTTTGTCTGTTCGCAACCCTCGATTGTCAGCTTACAGTGGTCCACAGATCAACTCGACGGTGTTGTGGTTTCGACCAGCATACGTTGCTCCAATGAACCCTCACTGCCTTTTCTTCGAAGTGATCAGCTTTTCCTAAAATGAAATTTACAGAGTTGACAATCAGGTTGCCTATAATTTGGAAACAAAGCCGAATCGAATTGCTTGTTTTAAGGCTTACCGAACTTGCTCATTGTCTCTTCAATCCTCAAAAGAATTGGTTAGCCTTTCGATTTACAGAGAAAGTATATGTTCCTTCACTTGTTTCCTGCAATTACTTTGGTATTGTATCTTTCGTGGCATCCGGAAACAGTTCAGCTTATTGGATTGCTCGGACTAGACAATGGGATCACATCATCGAGATTCATTGACTCAATCTCGTTGAATATTGGGTGGTAATCATATTTATTGAACAAAAACATCTTATGACAAATTTAGTTTCATTCGGGACTAAAATTACTGATGAGAAGATAAATTTGGAATAAAACTATTTGACTCTACACAAGAAATATTTCTCAAGAAAGACATCATTAATAATCCCACGGTTGATATTGATCTAAATTATTCTAAGTGGATGAAGATTTGATGCCCAACTCTCGAAACAAATACGAAATTTTATCGAACCAGATAAATCTGATTATATCATTCATTGTGACTATGTTAAAGATGCGATGGAGGAATCAGCGTTTGTTTTCTGGGAGGAAATATTTATTGAATCCTTGATATTTTGAAGGAGTTCTATCGAGTTGAACAACAGGATCAATCGCTTAACATATATCGTATGCAATTTAACGTGTTTGAGAAAATCAAATGACTATTGCCCTTCAGTACTGATGTCCAAATTCAACAAGCTTAAAGAAAACAAATGGCTATTATAAATTTTCAAGCTAGTATCAACTCCTAGTATGAAGATGTCAAATTACATATTCTATATGATCCTAAAGTTACTACTTTGAGAGAAGATTGTACTGCGTTGCGCGCTATTCCTAGTTCTCAAGCTTTATTTGTACAACAATTTAGTGCTCTTGCTAGTAAGAAAAATATAGAGTGTTGTGCACTGTTGTTATCATTTCCTTGATCCCCCCCAACCTTCGTTACCCCTCAGGAGTCCAAACCCCTTGCTAGCACCTCTTCCACCCTAGATTCAACCGTAGGGCTAGTATTGTGTTGTTGTTGGTTGCAATTTCATATTTTCGCATTGACTTCTTCTAATTTCCTATTTCAAAGTTAGTAATAATATTTTCTTTCCATGGGCATTTAGTCGCGTTCCGGTATCATAAATGACGCCAAAGCGCAATCACAGAACCACGGGAAGGGGGCATCCATGATCCCGTTGAGTGATTGTCGAAACCACAACCTTGACAACTGCCTGAGGATTTTCTGTTTTAGCTCTTTTGTCTTTCCTTTTGATTTACTTCCTATTTTTCTTATTCCTAAGCAAGGTTTTACTTGAGAGACTATTAATGTGTTGATATTTTACTGATTTGAAGGACTTTAGATTTTGGTTAGGTTATCTCTATTTGAGTGTTGTATACTTAAATTTATTTCAGGCGGTGCGTCTGTAACCTGATAGGATCGATGTGGTGATCTCTTTCAAATGCTTTAAGGCCTCCTTCGTCATTCAATTCGCAGCCAACTATTGTTCACAACTTTACTGTTGTGTCTTTATCCACGCTGCAATTTCAACTAACACCACTCCTCGACATTTGTGCCAACATTTCATGATTTTTCTTGTTGTTTTCAATTGGGATAGCCACCGAACATCATATATCCCCCTTCAAATATCGCTAATCACCAAAAATTTCATCCCTTAACTATTCCTCTACCTCCTTCTCATGATCCCGAACACCTTCTAGGAGTCGTAGTTCAGTGTCATTTGGTATCAAAGCCCAACAAGCTCTAAAACTATAGAGTTTTATCTCTCTCACCCCAAACCAAAATTTCTAATAACCTAACCTAACAACTCCACCAAAAGAAATTTTTTTTTCCAAAACCATTCCAAATATAATTCCAATCCGCAATCCAAAATAAAATTCAGAATCCAAATTTTCCTACCTCCACAAAAATTTCACCCGGACACCTACCCCAAAATTTTAAACACCCGACTATCCATGAATCACAATTTTATATCTATCGGAAACCTAATTAAGAGAAAAGGACGCCACTGCCTAGACGAAATCAGCAAAGAGGTGTCCAAGAGCTTTCTATGGAGAATATGCAGCAAGAAATCCTCCAATGGCGACAGAGGCAAATGAGTCTTTATAAAGGCAAAAAAGTGCTCAATTATAGTTCAATAGTCATAATGTTGAGTTCCATCTAAGCGAATTGAACTTTATGATATGACCTTCAAGTTGGATTTGTATCCTATACTATATAGTTTGGGTTCACAACTCGCTACCTTATTATGGCTAATAAAACTAAATAACCTTACATAACACATTTTAACATTAAAGTTAAATACAAGACAACAAAAATAAAGAAGCATAAGAAAGATTGATGTTATTAAATTAATGTGCAAGTAATTAGATCATTCCCTGAAATAATATATTGAGAAAAAAAGTTATATTTGTCCAACAACAAATGTAAGAACTAATAGGGCATATTTTCAAACGTTAAAAATATTAATAAACAAAAAGGAAAATAAAATGATGGTGAATTAAACCACCAAAAGTACCACATATACCAGCTGAATGGTTGATACAACTCGAGCAAGTGCTTTAACAATGTTCTCCACAACATTTGTATTTTTAGGATCCCTAACAAAGTAAGCAAAGACCAATCAAATGAGTGCGATAAGGATGTATTATGAAAAAAAAAATATCAGTATTTACATATGAAAATAGTTCTTTACCAGTTTATACCAAATACATCATCACCAACCATAATCTAAAAAAGTAATGTCAATTATGCACATGTACTTCATGGATCATTCCATCAAAAGCATTTGTTATTAATGCTAATTTAGTTGAATGCTTTTAAACAAGTAACATGGCCCAGCATCTTTTGTTCACAGCCTTCCTAGCATATATAATTATCATGTAGAGCAGACCTTCATACAGATCAAATCATTTGATAAAATCAATCCATAAAAGCCCAAGAGACCACAAATAGTTATAATAAATCAAACTGAGCCATCAATGCGAAATTTGAAGTCTTATTAGGCCCATTTCTATTGATAGCAAAATTTCTCCTTTTTTTAGATTTAAACCATTTTATTAGGTTTTTATCTAATTTTGGATAAGAATAGGCACAAATTTGAACAATTGTTAGAATTGATAGGATTAGATTTTCACTTAAATATTTGGCCTTATTCTTTTAACTATTACTCTAAATAGTGATCCATGATTGGTGTTTAAATTATTATTATTTGATGATTGAAACAATGTTGATCATTTGTAGCCAACCGAGTGCTCTCTTAAACCAAGTTGTTTATGCCTAACTTCTTACCACTTTATTAGATTTCAAAATTTTTGAACATCTAGACACATAAAAGTATATATTTTTAGACACCTTGTGAGTTCTTCAACCGAAATATCGAGATGTTCATTGAAGTCTATGCACAACAATGACAATGCATATATAAATTACATTTATGAATGAAATTTGATCCAATGGGACTAAAAATTTGGTGGTGTTAATATAACGCATATGCATAACTTTGGATTGAGGCATATTTATGTCTGTATTTCAAAGAAAATGTCTCTAATATATGCACTTGATTTTCTAGATTTCCATTTTGCTCTAAAGGGGAAGTGCATCTTTCTGGTTTCAATGGCGTATACATGTTTAGGGAGTATGCCCTCCTTTCATTGTAGAACTTATTTCCATAATTTAAGCAATCAAAGACAATAGATGTGTTGTATCTCTAATTGCATGCCAGGCAGATTATTTTCATAACCTTTTGTAGAACTTATTTCCATAATTTAAATTATCAAGGCAAGCAAATGTGTCGTATCTTTAGTTAGATACCAAGCAATTCATATTAATAAGCATGACATGGCACAAGCTAGAGACTTCATAGGAAATGAAATAAAGTTTAAAAAAAAAACAAAGTAATGTTTCATACTACAACAAATTTTACAACTAACAAATGAAGAACTGTGAAAAAAAACAAAACAAAAAACATAAAGAAAGTTTCTGAAGAAATGTAACGCATTGCTGTAAACAAAAAATGCAATGCCCTTAAATGAAATAAAGTTTAAAAAAAAAACAAAGTAATGTTTCATACTACAACAAATTTTACAACTAACAAATGAAGAACTGTGAAAAAAAACAAAACAAAAAAGATAAAGAAAGTTTCTGAAGAAAATGTAACGCATTACTGTAAACAAAAAGTGCAATGCCCTTAAATAACAATCTATTTGAGACAATTTGCCTTTCTATCAGAGTCAAAAGCATCTAAGAAACAAAAAGAAAAAGAGAACAATTCTAAGAGCAATTCATAATTCAAAAATTTGAGAATTGTGCAGCTTTAGTCAATTCTACAATGCATCTAAGAAGAAAAAGCTCTTTAAACTTACATATCAAAGTTCTTAAAAAGTAGGCGCAGTGTCTGTACTTCTACACAAAATCCCTGCTAAAGAAACAATAACAACAGACAACATTAATTTGTTTAAACTAAATAAAATGCTAGACAGCATTGAACATCACTACCCTCAGAACTTCAAGGACAAGTATCTGATGCCAAAGCGGTAAATCAAGACAAGCCACTTTTACCAGCATATTGAGAAACACCTGTATGAACCAAATGAATGTTGTGAACCAAAAATATAATGAAAACCTTTAAGGTAAAACATCAAAATAGTGAAATAATATTTGCCTAAGAGTATGATAAAAATGAAATTACATAGACCAAAAAAAAACCTGAATATGTTTCAGATAAGATCAGTTTTCATATGCATTACTAGACAATCTAAGGCTGTTCAATTATTTAGATATTGGCACCCACCATCAACTTTCTATAACCTATGTACCCTGCCCTATCCGCATTGAAGAATTAGATTTAATGAAAGAAGCGCGCCTGATTTTAAGTACAAAAACCAGGTTCGCTTGTTCAGTTCAGTTTCAGAAACCAACTCATAACTTCTTCGGTTTGGACTCAAAAAAAAAAAAAACTAGGTAAAAATGTCAATTCAAAGATCAACAATGGCATTAAAAGAAGATGAAAAACTACAGAAAAAATTTCCAAAACGAGCTAAACGAGTGCCTTTTCTAGAATAAAACCAAGTTGACGTCATAGAATGGATTCACCAAAAAGTAGCCAGTGCAATTAGCACTTATAAACTATAAATTATAACCCTTTTACCCTACATTAGCTTCATGCCCAAAGAGCGTCAATTGTCAACCAAAGCTCTTATAATTTTATAATGAGCATTGAAGATGGTCTATTCAACAGTGAAAACTAAAAACTAAGAAAAAAAAATAACAATTTTACCATTTTGATGTGTTTCGGGTTTATGGTTTGGGGTCACAAGATCAAGATCAGGACCCATGAAAGCCGTGTAGCGGGACTTTCGATCTATTGGCAGCTGCAAAATTTGTGGACCCTATTTTTATATTATTTGAAATAAAAGTAGGGTTATTTTGCTTGGAACATTTTAAATATTTTAATTTTTTTATTGGGAGACATTTACTTTGATTTATGCAATTTAGATATTGTTTATCTGATTTCAATCCCAAAGGAGCATCGTATCATTTTCCTCCTGCAAGTGTTGTGCTTTTTGCTCATCCAGGACAAGTAGGTGGATCTTTCGTGTGGTTCATGCTAGCCAACATCGCCATTAGGTTGTGTATTATGACATCTTTCCCCCTGGACAGCATCCGCATTTATCCTTTCGTCCTCCAAACATAACAAACTTCATATATTCTCTTCCTCTTGCCTCTCTACAAAACCTCACCACTAGATCCGATCATTAAACACTTTCTGAATATCCTAGAATTGTGTCATTTGATATCAGAGCCCATTTCTAATTTCAATTTATAACCGTAACCCTCACCCGAAACCTTCAAAATCTAATGTTCCTATCTCCATCAAAAATACTTTTGTACACCTACAACCAAAACCTACACCCTCAGCCAACCTTAGATCCACAATCCTATTCTAGCAGAAATCCTTAAGTAAAGAGCAAGTCACTGTGCAACCAAGGAGAAAATTTCAAAGATGTGCTCGTGAGCTTACCACAAAAGATATGTTGTGGAAAATTTTTCAATTACAAAGGAGACTTGCTTATTTTAAAAGGAGACAACTTGGGAGTGTCATCCACAGCAACAATTGTGACTACTCGGATGGAGGAGATGACAAAAGAAACTATTACACCAAAAAGCCGCAAAAGAGATGATGTTGCATCCATTCGGCACCGACTAATGGAGGAAAGAGGAGGATTTTAGAGTGGAAGTTGATTTGTTGGATTTTGGCAACCGTATGGATCTTAAAAAGTTCATTGAGTGGCTCAAAAAAGTAGAACGAGAGTACAAAGACATTTCACCTAATAGAAGGCAAAACTAGCAACCATAAAGTTAAAAAAGGTGTTTCCCTGTGGTGAGAGAATTTGAAGCGCTGGAAGAAAAAGAAATATCAAGATCTAGTCCCAGATGATGATGTGGTGCAGATACCTCGCAACACATTGCAATCAGTATTTTTTTTTTGAAACTTTGCCATTTGCAGCAAAAAAAAATATCATTGAAGTAGTACAATATTAAGTTTGAATAGTTTATATTAAAGTGATAGTTGGTAGAGCCAAAAGAAAATATAATAGTCTGATAACTTGGAGAAGCAAGACCTTCATTTGGCAATATGGTGCAGTTACATTCATATTGCACCTTACAGGATCTCCAGACTTTAGCCCTAAAGGTTAAGAAGTAGCACCGCAGTATTAGAACCCCCAACCCTTCAAACTAAGTTCAACCATGGGATCATGCAACAAAAGCCCTTCATAAGAAGAATCCAGTACAAAATAAAAAAAAGATTGATCAGATAGCACCGCAAGACATTCACAGTCAAGAAGTATTTCAAGAACCATGAGTATGGACATAGTGCATCCAACTACCCAAAATGAGAGTAATTTCTTTTACAAAGTAGGGTGCAATCGACAAAGAAGATAGTGGAGATTAGAGATTATGAGAATGAGTGGAGGCTTTGTGTAGGGTTTCTTTATCATTTCTTCTAGGGCTGTGAACCTACCCTCCATGTTCGAGAAACAATCCTCCATTACATATCAAAATTAATTGACCTCGTCCACCAATTTGTTTCCCAAAGCATCCACTGTCATTACTCTTGGATAGTTTTGAAACTCCTTTACATTGAAATCACGAAATTCAAACTTTTGAACACGGGTTGGCGTATGTGGAACAATGGATGTCACGATCCCGAAATTTTTATATGTGATTCGACGGAACTATTGGAAGCCGCGAGGAACTCTAGAAGCCACAATCTAAATTTCTGTATGTCGCAGATCCCAATCACGAGTTTCCTTCACAAGCAATGCGAAACTCCTTTATGACGCAATCCCAACCAATCACCAATTTTGATCAACAGAAGTGTGGAACTCTTGTACGCCGCGAAGCTTCAACTTTCCTGCATTCTATACCCCACGATCACGTCGATCGTCACATGAGAAGGAAGACATAATCGTGTCGTTACATTCTCTGCAAGTTGAACTCACAACTCTATTGCTGGAAGGAGTGGGAGGAGAAAGAAGTGAGTTTCCAGTCATTGTACCTTGCGATCATGTCGTAGCCTTCACTATACACTGCAATAACGTCGTGGTCTCCCAACTAGCGATCGTATCGTGGGATTTGGTCACCAGGGGATCCTGTCAATGCTTCTCAGCTAATTCTCACGCTAGCAATGACTACTTCTCATGCTAGCAGAGATTCTGTGGTAATCTCCCAAAAATGGATGCTCTGATACCAACTGATACGATCCTACGCAGAAATCGACATGATTTTTCACAAAATTTAGGGCAAAGTAAATTTCACTTTTTTTAATAATCCAAAACAACACAGGTACAAAGATGAACACATACAATTCGAGAGGTAGACGATCATTCCCAAATCCTACAATTTAAGAGGGGGCAAATCTCTCCCAAACCCTAACCCTAAAGTTCTAAAAACCCAATCACATGCATACCCTAACCCTAAACATAGTAGGGTCTATTTATACTAAATAATAATAAACAATAAAAAAATCAATACCCTTAGGCTAATAAAAGACTAAATTACCCCTTGGGCACCGGCATAACGCATGCACATATTATAAGAAGGAAAAGAACAAGAAGTACCTCGCTTTCAGTCACCAGGGATGTACTATACAACTTAATAATATGAGCAACAGAGCGAAGTACCAATCGCCTGAAAGTAGGTTCCTCAGATTCACCCTCCCGCTATATGCGCATAAGATGTAAAATGAGAGAATAAAATCAAATTATCATTTCAGCTTCCTAATATTAGCTGGATGTTATGTGAAAAAGTAATTCAGAAAGAGCATTAGACAAAATAGGAACTTTACCTCAACATTTGTCCGAAGAGAAGTCATAAGGAGAGAGCATATTTGGTGCCGTAGAACCTGCTAGATATTAGAAGCATCGGATTTAAACATATCAGAGAAAAATGGTTATGGAAGAGGAAGTAATAAGGTGTCACTAGTATCTTTCTATACCATGCAGAAAACTAGGACTGCATAAATATGTAACTAGTCTGATTAAACAGAGTTGAACAAAATGGAGTCTCATCTCCTTGGAGCTGAATGATAATAGAATATCATGGTAACTGGAGGGGAGTTCTACAAAACTATGACAGATCAAAAAACTTTAGGGAAAATTACATACATACCACACAATGATTATGCATTTACATATCTAACACCTAAAGTTTGATATTTAAATTTATAACACCTCGGTATTAAAAATTTGTTCATAAAAGTTGTATTTCACTTTTAAAAAGTTATTGATAGTGGCATTTTTGATATGATGTGAAAGATTTGAGTGTTAAGTATGCAAATATGAAAGTTTAGGTGTTAGATATGTAAATATATAAGAATTGCGCGGAATGTAAGTAAATGCCCCAAAAGTTAATTGTATCATCCAAGTGGATGAGGAAAAAAAAATGCATAAGAAGTGGGTCGTCCATATGAGAATGCAATAAGAACTTTTAATAAAACTAAGAAAAATAAAAGAGATTCTGAGCATAGCACATACAAGGAATGGTGATATAAGTAACATTCTTAATGCAGTCATGGAGAAAATATAAAGATGAATGTTGGTAAAATAAGAACATGAAGTGTTATTTCATCCTTATTAATCTTTTAGAAATGTGAGGTATTAGGATCTGAGATATGCAAAATTAAGCCCAAAATGCAAAAAGACTGTTTCTATTACTCGAAACAATAGCCTCTCATGCTACAATAGAGTTACTTATCCACTTCTCCAAGCCTAACCTGTAAAAAGATATAGTGTAGATGGAAAAATCAAATGAAAATGTAAATAAGGCAACTATAGAGGAATGGCTAATAAAAACCAGGATAAGATGGTCTGAAAACACATAGCACTAGAAAAGAGTAAGAAGATTCATTAAAAAAGTAGCAAAATGATAGTTAAACAAAAACGTTGATTAGGGTAGTTTAAAAATAATGGTTCATAAACACAACTTTAATAGTTGGCGTAAAAAAATGGCACCATAAAACAAAACTTCAGAAGAAAGTCAGAACCTGTTCATAAGATAGAAGAGTTTGGAATATAGCGACATAATGAGACAGGACAAACCTGTAACAGAAACAAATAAAAAAGATGAATGGAAATGATCAATCAAAACACAACGATAACAGTGGCATGCTATATCTCTGAAATGAACAGACAATTAGGATATCAATACAGTAAATAGTATAACACCAACACTCGGAAATAAAATGGATTTATTGATTCATTTTCTTCTTTTGGCGGATTATGTCCATCCTACAAGATCCTTTATCAGCATGCATACTTTAGTGATTATGCATAAATATAGATATAACTTTTTAGAAAAAGTAATTCGGGCCCAATAAAATTGCAATGAAGATCATCATAAATGGAATTCCCAGAACAGTTAAAGTAGAAATCAAACTAAGCTCTGCAAAATATCGATGTCGGCTGAATATAGTCCATATAGTAGTATAATTCTATTTGAAATTCAAGTCAAAATACATGTTAATTTCAAGAAGTTGTAAGACAATGAAACTTGGTTTGACATACGGACTACCCATATCATTCAATACTTACGAATGTTTTGAACATTAAATGTGTCAACTCATTAAAGTATTTTAGCTAAATTATCAGTTTAAAGTTAGATGTTGACTTTTGGAGAGTTATCCATTAAATCATGACAAGGCAAAGGAAATTGTTGCCATTGTGATGACATGAATCTACAAACCAGGCTAGAGGATTACTCCAACTAGAATAAAAGATATACTCCATGGACAATATACAATAAGATAAATGTGTTGCTCACTCCCCACAAATCACAAAATGAGACCTACCTATGTCGTAGTGTGCCTATGCCCATAGGGGTGTAGGAAGTGCCACACGTCAGCTGGCGCAGTCCAGGTGGTGTCACACCCCCAACTGCCCTCCCTTTAAGGGTTGGCTAAGACGCAACAAAGGCGGACAATTCGGTTAGACTAAATTCTCACCAAGACTCGTCACGACTTGTAGAATCATATCTGAGTGGGTGATAATTTAATGTAATTAATTTGTGGCAAACATAACTGATACGTTTCATTTCATAATTCACTTACATTCACATGTACTTGAAAGCCTGAAAATCATATCATCAAAACAGATATATTTATACAGCGCAGTTAAATCCAATATAATAAAAGCATGCACCCAAAATTCTATACAAGCTCCCAAAACTATAAATACAAAAATTGTACATGTCGCACCTAAATACACGTCTGAATGCTCCTGATAAGATTGATGTTATTTCTCTAATGTTATAATCTATTCTATCTAGTCATAAGAAGAAGATTCTAGGATATTTGTATTAAATGAGAATACTATAAAATATTTAAATAAGAAGAATCTAGATTATGTTTCTCTAGAAAGAATTGTAAGAGTTTAAAAGATTTGAGAATTAGTCTCTCATGTCTATAAATAGGCATAACATTGTTGACCTCGCTTTCGGTCGAGGTGTAGTTTTCCCCGCCTTAGTAGCCTAGGATCTAGCCATAGTACCTTTCTGTCGACTACTCCTAGAAAAATAGTGAAGAAGCCCTCCCCGTTAGCAGTTTTGAACTTTTCTTCGCTCGACTTGACGTTCCATGTAGTGTCTTGACCGCTATTGCTTAGCAGGTAAGGCTACTCCGAAGGAACTCAGGGAGCATTCCTAAAGGACTGTCGACCTTAGGATTGACTCTGCTCGTTGATTTGGCGTCGCTGCGCTCTTCGTCGTCCTGTTTAATCAAATTCAAGCCGAAGTCTTGATAGGATTTGGACCGCGACGCGTTTTTAACCCGATCGACGACGAGGCTGCCCGGACGACTCTGGATGACGAAACGGACTGCGCCGACGCGTCCGGAACGTCGATTTTGCTTAGGAGAGACGTTTATTTCGTCGCGAGAGCATTTCTGGAGAAGGAGATGTTTTTAAGTATTATGTATAAAAATAAATAATATTTTAATATTATAAATAAAATTTATAAACCTACCCTAATTTCATTTCCCCTCTCACGTTTTCCGTCTCTCGCTCGTGCGTCCGTCCCTCTCGCGTCTCTGCTCTAGTCGCCGTGGTCCCTCGTGTGACCCCACGAACTCGAGTCGTTGGAACGAAGGTTCCCGCGCTCCCCTCTCTCGAAGTCGCTCATTCCTCCTCATCATTTGCTGGCTCCTCGAGCCGCAAACGGTATGGCGCGCCTCTACACTCGATCTCTGCGGGATTTTTTTCAATCATTCGTCTTCTTCTTCCCTTAGCGTATATCAGAGCTCCTCTGTTAAGCTTCAAGGGGCCGAAAATCATTTTCAGGGGAGGACCTTTCTCTATTACTCTTCTATACTCACTCTCTTAAGTTTTTTTTGAACTCTCCTTGTTGCTGGAGAGAGGTGTTGGCTAGGGAATACTTTTCTGCAACTCCTTTTGTGATTCTACTTTAAGGAGGTACTTCCCTCTCCCCCTGTCTGTTGCCTGTGTTCGGCCCTACTCTTTACCGAGCCCCTGCGCTTTATTTGTGTTCGTCCCTGTTCTCTGTCGAGCCCTGTTAGCATGCTAGAATAGGAAGATTACTATTTGCCTCATTCCTAAACATGTTCTAACTTATTCTTTATACATTTGTTATGTGGGAATGGCATTTAAAAGCTTGAGGGTGTGTATTTCCTTCTCCCTCCCTTTCTCGGTGCTTTACTGGCTCTCGGTTATGGCCTTGTCGAGCCTCTGATGATGATCTTGTGGTGTGGTGCTAGAAGTTATATTTGGTTAAGCAATGTGGCATACTATTAGTCCTTTCTTTTACTTTGCTTATCTAAAGTGCTGAAGTTATGACATGTTTCCTATCTCCCAAGGCATACTTATATTGGAAGTAATTAAGAGGATAGTTTGAAATAATTTGGCCCTTCTCATAAGCATGTTAGTATATTTATTATGAAGCTTTCATCCACTTTCACTCAAACCATGTGGTAGTTCTATTTTGAGACGTCTTAAAGGCATGAAAATATTGCTCTAACTTTTATTATGGCTTAGTATTGGAGGTCTCAATTGCAGCTTGGTTTTCGACCCTTGCTGGGTTCGGGTTTTGGCCTTGCTTGGCTCGGTTTGGTCTTTAACTAGTCTGGAATTTGGTGAAAAACATGGTTTGGCTTTGGTTTTGTGTTGAATCTCGGTTCTTGCCTATTGGGGGTTCTTCCTTTTTCTTGCTTTGGTGACTCGATTTCTTATTTTGGGAAGATTTGGGTGTTGGTTTTATTGAAGCTTGGCTTTTGCTTTGGTTAAAAGTATTATCTTAACACATTTAAGCTCCTCATTGGAACTTTAAGGAACTGGTTTTGGCTTTATGGCGAGTTCTGATTGTGCTTTATGAGGACCTGGCTTTAGCTTCTCTTGTTTAGGCTTAAACTGCTTGGATGATCGTGGGGAGAGTAAGTGTGTCATTTCAAAGAGATTGAGGGTATTTTACACTCTCTTGTGTATGTCAAAGTTCTTGTGGAATGAATTTGAGTTGCTTTAGTCATGGACTTTGTCTTGTGCCTTGGACTTAGCCTAGGTCGTGAGCCTTCCCTTTCCCTTTGCCTCGTGTCTTGGCTTGGGTCTTGGCTGTGAGCCTTGCTTACAATGCTTTGGAGTTGGTTTGGACTGCCCTGTTTGTCGTGGCCATGAGTCCTTCCCTTCTTTAAGTCCTAACCGTGGGTCTCTCTCTTTTATATTGGCCTTGTTTTGCTTTGGTCGTGAGTCACCTTTAGGAGTTTATTCGGGTCTGGAGCTAGATGGTGCTGATATTGGCTTTTACCCGTGAATTTTCTTGGCTTTACCTCACTTTAACCTCAGTGCACCGATACAGGCTGTGGGTCTTACACCTCAGTGCATTGGAAAAATTTTGTGTTTGTTTGATGGTTTGAAAAATTTTGTGTTTGTTTGATGTGTGAGGCCATGGATTAATTTGGAAGTGGGAGATTTTGATATCAACTTGGGGTTTGGAGGATTTGCAAGTCTTATTTGAGAGAGCATTTGGTTGATTTGATTAATCTTATGTCTTTGAAGTTTGAAAAATCAGTGCAAAGTAGCCTTTTCATGTTTGTTAGGAAAGACCTTGGGCCATATTTTTCCAGATCTTTTTGATAAGAGTTTTGAGAACTGATTTATTCTCCTTTTCGGTGTTTTAGATGGATCGGTGTCTCCTCTCTCTCACCCCATTTTTGTTCTTTTCTTCTCTTGCTTCTTAGTTCGGTTTTCGATGCTTATGTCCGACGCATAAGTGTCCACATATAGTCTTTTGCTATACGTGAAACCATCAATCAAGGTCGCAAGTAATTTGTTTTGGGGCGTAGGGTGTTGATGATAAAGGCACACTGAAGATAGAGCAGAAAGATGTCCTATCCTATAACATCAAGATCCAGGTATTTGATGAACAATAGGATAACGGTATTCTTCACCGACATAAGTCTAGCGGGAGTTGGTTCGAACCTCCTCAGGTGGTTGGCAGTCCCACGCCCGACAGCGTAATCAACTTGTGGACAATAGAAATTATTAAAACTTATTTCAAAAAATAAAAATATATTTTTCACTATAAAATTTTTTTTTTTGAGACCTATGTGCATGTCAAAAACATAAATTTTAAAATACATTTTAAAATTGATTGTCCACCTGACGAATACTTATTTAGGCTGGGAAATAGCCCTCTAGGTGAGGTTCAAGACACACTTCTAGATGAGTGGCGGGTTCTATACATTCGGGAGACCAAGTAGCCTTCGTGGACCCTCGAGTATATATATATATCTGAGTCTAGCCCCACATGAGTACTTGCGGTCCCCCTTACCCGAACTTTTTTTTGTTTTATCGAAGCTTTGGGACAGGGAACTCGTGTTTCTTTTCTTTTCTTTTAGGATTTCTTCAAGATTTTTGAGGATTTTTACTTGAGTCTTTTCTCGTTGATTTTCTCGAGTTTTCTGTCATGAGTCGTTGTTACACTCTTCTTTGGATTTCCTGGATGACGTTTCTTCTAGACTTTGCTTTTGGCGATGCATTTCAGCTTGCTATATTTAAGAAACAACGGATCTCACGGGCGTTCACGGGCTGGATTTCCT